AAATTGACAGCCCAATAAAACGGGAAATGACAGCCCAATACCCTTTGGGGCTGTCAATTTCCCGTTTGTAATCTAAAATGACTGAAACTTCGCAAACTTCGCAAGGCTATATTTTCCGCAATTTACAACATTTCGCAACGAAACTTTGGAATATTACTAATTTTGTGATGCTCTTTCAAGCTGTAATGAAATTTTTGTCTATACTTGTTTAGATCAAAATTTAATCTATTACGCAAATGGTCAATTCAAGGCACTCTATATCCCATATTCATAGACTACAAGTGAGGGTAACTAAATTATATTACACCCAGAGGTTTGAGTGTATAATCATTCGGAATATGTTATATTGTATGGTCATCAAACTTAGCTTTGAAATATGCTGCATACACTACTTCCGTCCCTAAAACTGTACTATGTCTAACTGGTGAAATATTCAGCTAAAGCATCACGGTTTAGCTCTGCGTCTGGTGCTGGCGTTTCATCATTTGGAAGTATTGATTCCTCAATAAGTACTTCAGCGTCAGCTCAATCAGGAAGAAATTCATTTTTAAGACCTTCGCATATGTTATGTAACACGCAGGAGGCCTGTACAACATATGCCAGAGTACTTACATCCATGTCCACCCTTTTTGAATCTGATGTATCTTCCTTTTCACCTACCAAAGGTGTTTTCTACCGTCATTCGTGCACAACTAAGACGATAGTTAAAAACACGTTGACTTCTTAATTGTTGCCTCGTTCCTATGGTAGGCTTTTAACACCCACGATAACAGCGGATAAGCTGGGTCCGCAAGAATTACCGGTGGCATCTCCACCCCACATATTTCCCAGTTGAGGTCATCTGGGAAAAGACAGTTATCCCTTTCTTTTGCAAAAATGGCTGAGTTGGAGAAAACCCGCGCATCATGTACGCTTCCTGGCCAACCGATAACTACGTCCCTGAATATGTAATTACAATCAACCACAGCCTGCATAAGGACGCTATGAAACCCCTTACGGTTGACATATTCTGTGTGATTTTTGTTAGGTGCCAGTATTGGTATGTAAGTTCCACCTACTGCGCCCGCACACATGGGAAAGCTCCATGTCTCTTCATAACCTCGAATGACTCGCAAAAGGTCATCACCCTTTAGGGAAGCTGATAGCATTTGATGATTTGGAAACTGCTTTGCTATTGCATGACATACTTCTTTAATTAATGCACTGGGACACAAACGACCGTGACACTCCGAAAATTCGCCGAAACTGCTTCTTGAAGATGTGTATTTTCATGAGCTATTTCGGGCTCAACCTTTCTGAGACTAAATGTTAACGTTTCTTTCGTAACTCTGAAGTTAGCATACCATAGCTCGTCGTTGTAGGTGTCGTCCACCATCTCAAACCAGATCTGTGTTCGTGGGTGCATCCACAGTATTCTACTTCTTTGGCGATGAAAAAAAGCTAGTACAGTTTCAGTGAATTCTTTTTTACCTTTTCTTTTTATGTTGTAAAGCGCTATTCTACGTACACGGTTATCTTTAAATTTTGCCAAGCGTAAACGTCTCCGTTTTGTCACATAAAAATACCAAACAAGTGCCGAGTTTGCTGTTTCAGTTATATCCTTCATTTTTTAAAATGCCCGCGAATTTTACTTTAAGAATTTAACCGCTGAAGTTTGATTTAAAGGCGCAGTATTTAAGCGGGCCGTATTCAAGAGTAGGGGTGCTAGAGCATCTTGATGGCACGCCAAAATTTGTAGTGTAAACGATGCTGATTTTTGAAGAAAATGGTCCGCGTGCCATTATTTAAGAGTGCCGTGGTTTGTATGCATTTCATTTAGGACAGATAATCTCAACTGTTTTGGGGCAATCCGGGGCGAAACGTCCTTTTTCCCTACATCTTTTTTATAGAAACATAATTGGTACTTATCTAAATATAATATTACTGGTTGGACTGATATTATCACTGACCGAAATAATAATTTGAAATGTGCCTACCTCCTGCAAATGGACGCATTTGGCCAAGTTCTCCACTTTATTCCGCTGTTTATCGGCGATCTCGACGACATCCTTCCAAAATGTAAATCATCTCAGACATAATGGTATCAAGAACATTTTAAACAAGTTTCAACTTGGCTTCAAGTAGATCATAGCTGTTTAACCATCGACAAGGTAAATCCACAACTTTGTCCAAATTCGTTGCCATTTTGTCATCCCGTGTAGGTTGTCAACAATTCGGCCTCGTTATTCTTCAATTCACGCCATATCCATTGCACAAATAACAAATTTAACCCTTTGTTAAGGGTATTAAAATAAAAATACAAATGAAATATGCGAAATGCAGCATTTTATCACCATGGGCGTACCGCGGAAGGAAAAAATTAGGGGGGGCGAAAAGAAATTTGCCCGACTTTTTGGGATTATGCCCGAATAGTACCTAAAACATTTTTTCTTGAAAAATTATTTCGGCGACCTCCCCCACCTCCCCCCCCCCCGTCGCCAAAAAATTTTCGGTCAGTCAGTGTACCATTTTAGGGGTCAAAAATTTTTCCGGACATACCAGAATTTTTCGGAACATCACAGAAATTTTCCAAACTACACAAAATTGACCACAAAATTTACTGAATTTTCGACTACATTGACAGAATTTGTCACATTTATTTTTATTACAAACAAAAATTGCCCGACTGTTGATCGAATATTGCCCGACTGCCCAAAAAACTGGGGGGGCTACCGCCCCCCCCCCGCCCGGTACGCCTATGTTTATCACCCTGTAAAATGTTGCTTACGATTCCTTCAAAACATTTCGTACAAATCTCGCGTGGTTTAGCAACAGGGACGTGACAGGGG